ATTGACTAGACTACTAAGCGTCTATCCTGGACGACGTCCTCCGGCGGAAGATGACTAGTGTCGCGAATTAGGAGACTTCATGGCTAATTAAAAGGCCATCTGTCCTAATTTTTCTTACTAGGCTGGTCACGTGATTAACCACGCTTCTAGTTATTTTATAAATTTCCACTACTCATTTATTTCCATCCCTGGAAAAAAATGTAAACGAATATAATTGTTTTAATGAAAAACTGTTGAAAAGAACAAAGAAAATAAAGTGTGAGAATTTTAACAAAAGCTTTATCAGAAAAGGCAGAGAAAATTAGTTAACAACGATTATTCAGAAAAGAGTGACCATTGTGGGAAAAAAATAAATTCTTTAAAAAAGTGAGATAGCCATTTTTGAGAAAAGGGTAATTCTTATCTGCTCTTAAAGTGGCATTCAAGTGTGTTTTTATATACAAGAGATGTAAGGGCGCAAACTTAACAAAAAAATCATTCAGAATTCAGAAATTGGAAAAAAAGTATTTTTAAAAAATGTTTACAGAAAAATGTTCAAAAAGCGATTCTGAACATCACTTAATTTTTTTAATTTTTTCTGTGTATAATATATATTTTCATTACGAAAGCACTCCGGCAGAATGTGCCGTTAAGCGCCTGAAACAGTCGATCTTCAAGCGGGCGTTCGGAGTGCTGTACTTTTTTACCTATTCCAGATAAACAGGTGCTCTCACAGACTTTTTTTTACAGAATTGGGTTCTCGAAAAAAAAACGTATTTTCATTTTTATAATAATCCGTTTTAAAATATTTCTTATCTCTATTAAAAAATTATTCCCTAGATATATTTTTTGGTTACAGGACTAATAGATCTCTAGAAGATCCCAATAGGAAATGTAGAATTCAAATAGGTTCAGCCAAAGAAATATTTGTTTTTAAAAGAAGTTCAATCGGAACATATAGATTTTAATCGTACTCGAGAGTAAATATTCTAAACTCATAGAATCCTTATTTTCCCGTTTTTGGATATTAATAGGATTATAAAAATTTTTTTTATTATACTTTACATCTCAATAGGATTTTGCATAATTTAATAAGTTAAACTCCTCCAACATCCAATGGTCAATACTCTTTCTTTTATTCCAGGCATTGTTTCAATTCGAATGAAAAAACCTTATGGGGATTATCGTGTTCAATAAGACTTCTCAGATAACAATTTCCATATTGAATAGAGACAGTTTCTTTGCGATGCCTTGATAGGATTTGATATAATTTTATGAGAATATTGAACATTTGATACGTATAAATCCTATTCAATTTTACAATAGGATTGGACGTTATTTAATGGGATTTTAATACTGTCGAAATTTTCTTTAAAATTGAGAGTAAACCGATTTAAGGTTTCAATAGAATCTTATTACCATAGAAAAAAAATCAGTTTAAACAAAAGGTAATTTTAATTCACTCTGGAGTTTTTTTGTTTATTCGGATTTGTTGTTTAAATATACCCTTGATATGAAATAATTAGAAACGTTGCTCAAAAAAATTCTGTTGATAGTGAGATTCGATCCTCGCATCCTCGGGTCTATAGTCCAGTACGCTGCCGACTGTGGGCAGGCCTTACTCCCCACTTGCACTGCTTAGCATAAAGCAATACTATGACTTTTAATTCTCAATTTCGAGAATCATGTTCCCCGAGCTTCAGAAATTAAAGAAATCAGACTGTATTTACTATTCGTATGTGTATTTACTTGATTCCTTATAGATTCATGTCAAGTTTTAAATGAAAGTTGCAATTATGTTAATAGTAAACTTAGCGTTTACTTTGAGTTATTTTAGCATAACTTCAATTTGAAAATAACTATAAATCATCTGTAAATCAACGTTAGATAAACGGTTGTTTGAGAATTGATAATTGGTCAATTATATAAATTTATTCGGTATAAATAAATTAAGGGAAAACAAAGACTTAGTGTTTTTTAGTTACAATATCCCTTCGCAGGACTTGATATTTTTCACACGGATGTTTTCTCTACGTTTCCATGGGTAAATAAATAGATTAAAAAGTGAATAGTGGCGTAGAGAATATCCTTTTATCACAATATTCATTCTTAAAATTTCGCTACCCAATTAATACAATGCTAAGAACAAGGAAAAGGGTATAAATTACCGGATGTTAGAAGAGATTAAACCAATAAAATGATGCAGAATCCTATTAAGATTAGAAATGAAATAAAAATAGTTGCTAAGTCGTATTTCCCTATTGAGATCTATTCATCTCCTATTGGATGTTGGAGAGTTCAAACCTATTAAAGAAGGCAGAGTCCTATTGAGATTTCATTAATAATTAAAAAAATTTCTAAGTCGTACTACCCTAATCGATTACTCAGTTTCTTATTCAAATATCTTCTATCGTTTCCTATAGAAACTCTCCGTTTCCTGTAGAATTGCTAATTACTTTTTAGAATCATCATCATCCTATTCAGTTGTTTGAATAGGAAAGTTCTGAATCCTATAGGTTTTACGATTACCATTCATATACCTATTCAGATTTACATAATCCTATTAGACTTTCTGTGGGTAAGGTTCATAAGCCTAAATGATCTAATTTTTTTTAATAGGATTGTTAAAGCAGAAATGGAATATGAAATTGTTGAGCAATAATAATGTATTATAATGCATATGTAACAAAATTTAGTATTTTTGTATCATATCTAGATGTTATTAACCTTTAGGTTGTGGAGGTGGTCGATATATGGACCAGCAGTCAGGTCAATGACTCTCTCTGAGATATCCAGTGATATTATGCGTACATTTTACATATTCTAAAAGGTTAATTTGTACTGAAACATCTCCGCAGCCTACAGGTTAATGAGTGCTACTTCTAATACAAACTCTGATAAAACTTAAAATTAGTAAATAATTACAACTAGGGCCAGAAATTTCGCTGCGCTAAAAAAAAAAAGATCATCAGATAATTTTTATTTTAATCAATAATAGTTTAATAAAAAAATTATCTTACCTGAAGATGAATAGGCTCAGATGATACAATGACAGTCCAGTACATAAAACGACGAAATTGGGTTATATAAACAAATAGAATTTTGATATATATATATATATATATATATATATATATGATATATACAATATATAACATATATACATCGTAAAATATATGTGTGTTCATCTATAGATGGATTGACTAACGACAGTTTGTTAGTTGATGACGATTGCTTGACGATTAGATTGTTTATAGTAACGAGGGGAGAGTTTGTTTATCTCCAGTTTAGGACTGAGACTAGCTAACATTAGACGTCTTGTCTTTGATTCTGTATTTGAATAGGCCGCTTTTAAGAAACTAACTTTTAATATTAGTTGTTCTCATTCTATTATTTTACAATATATATATACACACAAATGAAGAATGTATGAAAGTTACGTTTCAGTAAATGAACAATTAAAAATATTAATTGCGTCGTAAACACTAAAAACTTAAATTAATTCAAATAAAGAGAAAATTTAATAAATCAAAATGCAACTAAATGAATTTCCAAGCAAAAAAAAATTCGTTTATTTTACTGTCATTAAAACGATACATAGCCGAAAAATCGAATGTAACAGTGAATCGGCATCTAGTACATTCTACGGTACTTATTCCAGTACTTCTACCGTACGATCTGAACAAGGCGATTTTGACTAAAAAAAAACATAATTTGTAGAAGAAATAACGAGACCTCATCAGATATAAATTGTAAATGATAGACACTACAATTAGTCTACTTATATACATATCAAAATTCTATTTGTTTATATAACCCAATTTCGTCGTTTTATGTACTGGACTGTCATTGTATCATCTGAGCCTATTCATCTTCAGATAAGATAATTTTTTTATTAAATTATTATTGATTAAAATAAAAATTATCTGATGATCTTTTTTTATTTTTTAGCGCAGCGAAATTCCTGGCCCTAATTATAACGTAATCGGATGAAATTTATCTCTTCATTCACTATTTACTTTTTCATTTGTAAAAAGATTCAATTTTTCTCTGTTGAATAAATAATTAAAAATTAACTCAAATATTACTAAAGTTTATATAAAATATTTTTAAAACGTATCAATTTATCTTTTTAAAAACTTCAAATTAAGTACTTTATTCTTCCTTCAATACTCAAAAATTTGATCAATTATACTGATGTAAACAGATATAAGCATATGGATACTTTCAAACAAATAAAAAACATTTTTACGTTGAACACATTTTTGAAAAAATAAAATGTCTTTTCATTATAATTACGATAATAATTCTTGACCTTATCCGTTAAAATGAAGGTCAACCGAAAAAAATTCAATTTATTTTATGATAAATATTGTACATCATTACCTCGTACAGTATTTCGGTATATAAAAGTCCAATATTTTAGTAAATAGTAACTCAGTAATTATTAATGGTAAACATATTGTAGTACACAAATACAAATACTAGAATTAATGTATGGTAAGAAGTAAAAAGTTAATATAATTCAATTACTGTCTGGTGTAGCTGCAAAGCTTAATAAAAACTGACTGATATCTAAGAAAAAGCTACCTGTGAAAAACCTTTCCTTTCTCTTTTTTATAATCTTGGTTGAACGTTTCTTATTTATCTTTAAATTTAGCTCAGTTTTGATTTATACAGTAGTATATAGATAGCACCAATTTGTTCATTTGTATTTTTAATGCATTGAATACATATTTTTTTCACTGTTTTCTTCTACTACGCATCAAAAAAAAATTTACGCTCGGATTAACATTTAAAATATTGTTTGTAATTCAACCAATGCATATTTTATATATGCTCCGTTAATTTAACTATAGCCAAAGAGATACTTTTGATAAAAGCCTCAACTAAAAATATGTAACCACGTAGTTTATTCAAGTTCGGATAATTAAAAATGTAAGAATTCTTGTATTGACTAAGCAATATCAATTCGTTTTCATTATTAAGATACAAATATATTTCTCAGTATTAGATCTCACCTGATAAATGTATAGCAGAGAAATCAATCATTCACTTGAAAAATATATGTGCTGTATATTATATAAATTCTCTTCAAAATATTTAACTATATTTTCTCCCACACGACATTATGAAAAGTGTCTATCAATTATACAGATACGTAAGCTTGATTTATTAAAATTGTTCACATTCGTTTAGTACATTGAGCAGAAATAATCTAAAAATATTTCAAAATAATAATCAGTACAAATGATAGGAGAACCAAATATGAAAACATAAATGAAATTGAATACTAATAAAAACTTGAGAAAATACTTTGTTCTAATCATAAAACAGATTCTGTAACCTTTGTATCATGTAATGTTATTTTTAAAAATTATTGTTTGGCAATTTCTTGTGAAGAAAGAAAATTGTAAAGAAAATATTCAAAAATAACACTAACTAAAATTAATCATATTTGTATCAGCACCAAACAAATGTAATGTCACAGAAGTTATTTAATTTATTTTAATACTACTACACTTCAAAATTTTTAGCTGCTTTTGTAAACGTATCGTTCGACATTAATTATGATTATAATTTATATACAGTACTGGACATAAACGCTGCTTAATTTTTTAAAGGTTATAAATGCGATTTCCCTATACCGTCCGTCTTATAGAAAATCATGAAGGATTTATGTCCGGTACTGTATATTCATATAAAACTATTTTTTTTCAATGAAAAATGGATACTTTATATCAACAGATGAAATTGCAATAATCTTATGTTAATTGATTATAGAATGAATAACTGTCCGTTCTGTAATAGACGAGGCATTACGTTAAATCAATTGGTAACCAAAGTAAACTTAGGCCTGTTGGGACGGCTAAATTGTCTAGGGTACCAGATTAGTGATTTTTTGTCTTTAAGTTGGCACTTCTTGACCTACAGTGGAGAAATATGAGAAAGAACTCTTTGTACACTCGGCGTCATTAATGCCTGGTGTATCCTTGGAGAGCAATTACTGACTGCGGGTATTATTCTTTTTACATTGAGTTTCTAATCTAGAATTTTTCAAGCTTGTGCTGAACTCAGAAAACTATAAAATTTGTGATTACATTCGGAATACGATGTTTTAGTATGTAAAATATTTTTTTTTATTATTAGAAAGATACCAAGGTTTGTTACGAATAACGATAATTAGTGAAAATTTTTTAAAAAATTAATAAATAGAAACTTTCTACTGCTGTGCTTGAACGGCCATTTCAATTTTAAGACGTAAAAGATAAATAACTAATTACTCCTCTTTTTATGGAATTTCTATTAATTGTTGTTAATCATGACGGAACTTTGTACCCCTTTAATACGAACAAAAAATTTTTAACGTAGGGCGTTTTCCATTTAAAGAAAACCTCTCTCTGTGTTTGACACTGTGTTGACTAATTTTATAAATGGAACATTTACTTTGATTGTGTTTCGATAGAGGGCCGCTTATAAAAGTTACTAGGAGAAAAAAAATTTTTTTAAAAAATGTTTAAAAAAAATGAGAATTTTGAGATCATACATACATTGACATTTACATAGCATTGCATTGTGTAAATAATAAAAGATACTACCTTAATTTCATAACGAAAAACTTTTATATCTGATAATTTTCTCAATTTACCTGTATTATCCATTATTTTTTTTAAAAGTCAATCATTAATTTGCTGGTCGTTGTGAAAAAGTAGTGTTGCCAATGAAAGTATTGAAGTTACCAAGCTTTAGTTGGCATTAGGTTTTTGCTATAGTATGGTCGACACTGTGTTGCACCAAAGAATACAGACCCATGGGTCTGTATTCTTTGGTTGCACTGTGTCGACTTTTTTTTCTAAATGGAAAACGCTCGTATTAAAGCATCATATTTGGAATGTAATCACAAATTTTATAGTTTTCTGAGTTCAGCACAAGCTTGAAAAATTCTAGATTAGAAACTCAATGTAAAAAGAATAATACCCGCAGTCAGTAATTGCTCTCCAAGGATACACCAGGCTGAGCTGAAGTCAGACCCGAGGTCACCATTAGCAAACTGTTAATCATAGCTGCCAACTTCTGCCAGACACTGGTACCAACCCAAATAAATTAAAAATTAAAGAACCCGATCATAACATACATAACCTAAAATTTGTTATAAACAAGTAACGTATAGTATTTTGTTACCTTTGGTACGTATACCTCGTAACGAAAGTAATAATCATTTTTATTATCAACGAAGTCTCATAGCTGATAATTAATTATTAATTAATTACTATCAGACTGCGTTGATAATAAAAATGATTATGACATATTGCAGCCACGACGTTAAGCACCAGTTAGATCTGCACAACGCTTGGAAATCTTTTTCTTCCTGTCTATGATGGTGGACCGAGTAAATTATTGTCCCTAACTTTTCTTAATGCTCTATCGAATATTTCTGAACAATTAAATAACGGTTATTATAATTTATAAATATAAACAATAGAAGAGTTAATGTATTAGCTCTGCAGACAAAACACTACTAGATTTTTAATTTGCCGAGCCGAGTTCAACCCCAATCGCAGCGAATTTTTTTTTCTCTTTTTTTTTTAATGATATACAAGCGTTATTTTAGCATGCCAAAATTAGTTCTAAATAATAACTTCGCACATCGCCGGAAAGCTGGATACCCACACTCCATACCCAAGCAAGCAGCTTAAAATAATAAACAAAAAACATTTATATGAAGATGTGCTAGCTCCGTGGTCAGAGCGCCAGTTTTTTATTTTGCCAAGCAGGGTTCAAACCCAGTTACGGAAAGATTTTTTTTCTTGTTAAAATTGCAATTACATGCAATTTTAGGATGCCAAAATTAATTTTAAATATCAATTTTAATTTTTTCCATAATTATTTTTCTAATTAATGACGGAAGAGTAATAAACATTAAAGTAGTGCAGAAAAATTTATATTTATACAGCTACATTAGTCGTAGGATTTTTTTTTTTAACAAACAAAAATAATAAACAGCAAAAAACAGTTGAAACAATCCACGGCGAGTTTCGGCGCTTCGCTGACAAGCTCGTTTCCCACCCTCCGTACCCAAGCCTACAGGTTATGATTTATAAACATGTGAACATCAAATAAACGCATGTTAGCTCTGTGGTCAGAAACACGCGACTTTTATTTTGCCGGGCAGGGTTCGATCCCCGTCACGGCCAATTTTTTTTTCGTTGTTAAAATTTTACGAATGTAAAAAAAAAAATTTGCCGTGGCTGGGATCGAACCCTTATCGGCAGAATAAAAGTCTGGTGCCCTGACCACAGAGCTAGCATACATTCATTGGTCATTCTGTATTTATTAATTATAAGCTGTCGGCTTGGGTACGGAGAGTGGGAATAGAGCTTGCCGGCGAAGCGCCGGAACTCACCGTGGATTGTTTTGATTGTTTTTTTATGTTTATCATTACGAATTGTTTAAAAAATAATATTTTAACTAATGCAGCTACACATAAGTATAAAGATAAGTTTTTTTACACTGTTTGATTTTTTTATTATTTTTCCGTCATTGGTTAGGAAAATAATTATGAAAAAATTGAAATTGATGTTTAAAATTAATTCTGGTATCCAAAAATTGCAATTATATGTAATTTTAACAAAAAAAAGAGAGATGATTAATATCAGTGCTCTGCAGTGGTCTGAGTGCGACCCGAAAGGTCCACACGACCAACTTCCCAGTGGAAAAAATGGAAAACACCTCGAATAGAATTCGCTTCCGTTCTTCATAAAAAATCGAATTGTTATGAACGAAATGAGTCTATTTTTATCCATTTGATATGGTTAGTTACTTCATTTTAGTAAAAGAAAAAATTATGCGTTAGAAGAATTCAAATATACCTCATAGATCCTTTTATTCATTATTTACAACAAATTTCATTGTTATACATAGAGATGTGAATCGGTAATTGACGGGTAAATTTACCGTAAATTACCGGTAAAAAACGCGTCAATGACCAAGCCTGTTTTACCATACCGGTCAGAAAAATGCTGATCTCTGATTGGTTAATACATGTCCAATCACAGTTTAGAATTCCCAACGGCATACAACTGTTTATTTGTTCTATCAGGTATATATTTTCATTTTTATTTGTTTATTAAAAATACTGATAATATTTAATATAAGAAAATTCAATTTGTAGATAAGGATTTTCATTGAGAACTTGGTGCAATGGGGGAGAACAAATCAATATATAAACATTTCTCTGCATTACCTCTGCAACCTAACCAAAAATTAAAATCGTATTCATGTAACTATTGCAAGAAAAAGTATGCAGAAAACATTACTCGCATGCGAAAACATCTTTATCAAGAGTGTAGAAGTTGTCCTCAAGACTTACGGAAACTTTTAAAACCATGTAAACCTCGTAAACGAAATAATTCTCATCTAAACAGCACAGACGACTCATTTACTATTGAAGATTTGAATGAAGCAGACAATAGAGCAAGTACTTCAATGATTTCAAATGAAAATTTACCAAATAATATAAGTGTTTGTAGCAATAACTATAAAAAAAATACAATCGATAGTTTTTGTGATAAAATGTCAAAAAAAGATGAAGATTCTCTACAAGAACTACTTGCAGAAGCGATTTATGCATCTGGTACACCATTATGTATAACAGAAAATCCATATTGGCTAAAATTTTTTAACGCATTACGGCCTTCATTTAATTTGCCATCAAGAAATCAAATATCAAATAATCTTTTAGATTCAGTATTCGTTAGAACACAAAATATGGTTAATGAAAAAATTGAATCTGCTACTACTGTTGGAGTGCAATGTGACGCATGGTCTAATATTCGCAAAGAAGGAATCATCAATTTTATTGTAACAACCCCAGCGCCAGTTTTTTTCAAAACATTTCCAACTGGAACCGAATCACAAACTGCCTTATATATTTCTGAAAAAATAGGAAGTGTTATTGATGCTTTGGGAATTAAAAAAGTTATCGGAATTTGTACAGATAATTGTGCTGCAATGAAAAGTGCTTGGACTTTGATAGATCAAAAGTATAATGTCGACAAATTGTATTGTTATGGTTGTGCTGCTCACATTCTTAACCTACTCATGAAAGATATTGGTAGTCAAGCAACTGTTGAAACTTTGGTGACAAGTGCAACAGCTATTGTAAAAGGAATAAAAGAAGTACAAATAATGTCAGCGATTTTCAAAGAAATTCAATCTCAAGATGAACGTAGAGTATTTATTACCTTAAAATTACCAGCTAAGACAAGATTTGGATCTACTATAATTATGATTGACAGTCTTTGTGTTAATAAGCATAATCTTCAGGCTTTAGCAATTTCTTCAAAGGCTATTACATTATGGAAACCTGCTTCTCGTGCTCTTGTACTAAATGAAGAATTTTGGAATAATCTTCAACAAATTCTTCAATTGATGAAACCGATTGTAAAGTGGATAAATATTTTAGAGGGTGATAACCCTTTAATAAATAAAGTACCTGAATGTTTTTATGATTTATATAATCATTTTAATAATGCATTTAATAATATTGGAAATATTTTTTCGGAAGAAGAAAAGCTGAGCATATATACTTGTTTAGAAAATCGTAAAACTATGGCTCTACGGCCCATACATTATGCAGCTAACTTACTTGATCCTCAATTAAGAGGAAAAAATTTAAATAGGTCAGAAATGGTTGAAGCTCATCAATTAATTATAAATCTTGGTGATAAATTAAATCTAAATAGTGATAAGGTATTAAAAGATTTAACAGATTATGTGTTAGAATCAAGTATGTGGAGTTACGACTACGTTAAGCGAGCAAGTATAATCACTTCAGCATGTCAATGGTGGCAAAGTATTTGCCAAAAATCTTCGTTGAGCAAAATAGCTGTGGCTATATTGACTTTACCTGCAACATCAGCTGCAACCGAGCGTTCCTTTAGTACACAAGGATGGATTCATTCATCTAAAAGAAATAAGTTAAGTATCGATAGAGCTGGAAAAATAACATACATTGCAAGAAATTTAAAATTACTTAATCCTTCACCAAAAAATACAGAAGAAGAATGGGAAGAAGATGAGGAAAGTAATAAAGGAGAGGATGAAATAAGTGAAATTTGTGCTGAGCATGAAGAAGTTGAATTTTTAGAAGAAGAATTTACTCAAGACTAATTAGTGATGTTGATGGAATTGAATCAGTATTAGACTTGTTATTTCCTAATGAAATATGTCAATTATTATGTGATATTACTAGTTGATAGAAACTATAGATTATATGGTTTTATTTTTTCATAAATAATTTACATAAAAGTTAAAAAAGTCAAATTCTTTATAATATGTAATAACGAAGGATTATCTATTTTATAAAAAAAAATGTACCAAAAACTTAACTAAATAAACGTTTATAATAATTTTCAATATATTTATTATTTCTGTCCTAACAGTCAAAAATGTAAAATATTTTTTTTTATTACAAATTACAAAATTTTTTTTTCATCTTATAATAATTAATTAGTTTTAAATTAACAAGTGCAAAAAGCAAAATTAACTTAAGCAAATTGGCAAACAAGTTCGAAAGCAAGCCATTTCCTCGGTAAAAAGCTCATCATATTCATCTATATAGATGCGAATGACCGGTAATTTACGGTAATTACGCTGACCGACGGCTTGACGGTAAATTTTACATTCAGAATTTTTTGACGTCAGAATACCGTCAGATACCGGTAATTTTACGTGGTAATTACCGAATTTTCTATTACCGGTAAATTCACATCTCTATTTTAACGCATAATTTTTTCTTGTACTAAAAAAATGTTACCAACTGTATGACATAAATGAAAACATACTTTTTTCGTGTATATTGCTTTTTTTTTTGGGCACAGAGAGTGAAGGTAAAGCTTGCCCGCAAAGTGCCGGAACTCGCCGCGGATTTTTTAAACTATTTTTTATTGTAAATAAGTTGTTAAAAAAGGCTATTATCAATGTATTTGTACAAAAAAAGGTTAATGGCCCTGTTTAAATATTTTCTCATTTGTCATTGATTAATTGAAAAATAATTTTACATAAAAATCGAAATTTAAAACTCATTTTTGGCATGATAAAATTGCAATTACATGCAATTTAAATAAAAAAAAAAATTGTGCCGCAATTTGAATCGAACACCGTTCGGTAAAATCACTGTCGAACTTTCTGACTACAGGGCCAACATATTTTCATTTACTTTTTTTACGTTTAGATATCATAAGCTTCAGGCTTGGTAACAGAGGGTGGGGGATGTGCTTGCTCGTCAACTGTTCGAACTCGCAGTCTTCTTTAAAAAATAAGACGGAGATAGATAGATGTATTCTGTGCTCTGTCTTGCTCGGAACAGATTATTCTGAAATTTCTTGGTGCCCTAAGGCTCCCGTTTTTTAGTGCATCCCTGAAAATTAGCATTTCTCGAACGATTGCCCTGTTACCTACTCAATTTCAATTGACATCGAGCTTCGGCCTTTTGCCGCACAATGCGAGGGCGTAAAGTCAGCTTCGGGAAATTTTCTGACTTGAGCTTAGCCTTGACCGTATAGTAGACATTACTGTTTCCATGAATATTAATGGAGTGAGTAAACGATTTAAGTATTTGTATATATCAAAATATATAAAATTATTTAGAAATATTTTCAGTTTAAAGACAAATAAAATTAAGAAGTAATAAAAAGTATGTCAACTTTGAAAAACTTCAATGCATTACTAGTTTTATAGTGAAGTAAGATGCAAATATGTGTGATTAAAAATTTCATATTTGCTAAGAAGTCCAACACTTATACTGTCAATGATTCTATCGCTTTCTCGCAATAATTTTGAAAAATTGTAGTACAAATAATATCATGGCGGATAACGTATTAGAAGAATGCAGTAGTGATCAGCTGGAAAAAGTACTTCAATTTCAGGTAAAATATATATATATATATCAAATATACGTACAAATTAAGTATGTTAAGAATTTATTTTATGCTTTTTATCTATAGGACTTAACGAATATCGAAGATCTTTCTGTTTGTCGTGATGTTTTACAAAGGCATAATTGGAACTTGGAAGTTGCCGTTCAGGTAACAAACTTGATTGCTTATTTGATTATCACGAAATTTTTTTGATAATTACTAAACATTGCTATTTTTTCTATGTAATAGGAGCAACTTAATTTATATGAAGGAAGGCCTTCGATGTATGCACAAGATTTACGGTCAAGACCACCAGCGGTTTTCGATGATACTAGCTCGAGAATTTATTTTAATCCATCTGGCAGCTCTGGTAGTAGCGGTGGCTTCTTATCCCTTTTATTTTCCATGTGTTATAATTTAGTAACAAGCATTTTACATTTAGTATTTGCTATTTTTCAAACCAATGTACGACCAGGTATGGCGTATTCACGAACATATGGTTAAATATTTTCTAAATAACATTTCATATTGTAAATGAATTTTTAAAATTTCAGTTCCTTCGGATCCTGTTGAAGATGTTGTCAAATTTATTAGATTTTACGATGAAAAATACGGTGCAAATCATCCAGTTTTTTATCAAGGCTCCTACAGTCAAGCGTTATCAGATGCTAAACAAGAATTAAGATTTTTACTAGTTTATTTACACAAAGATGATACGCAACATGTTGATCAGTGGTGCAGGTATTTTTAAATTACTTTTTTCGAAAAAATTTAGTCTCTTTTTCAAAATTTCATTCATGATATTTAAAATCGATTTCGATTGATTTTTCAGAAATACATTAGCTAATAATAATGTTATTCGATTTATAAATACTCACACGCTTTTTTGGGCTTGTAATATACAATCAGGAGAAGGTTATAAAGTTACAGAAGCTTTGAGGGCAGCAACTTATCCATTTCTCGCACTTATTGTTCTAAAAGACAATAGAATGACCATAGTAGGACGGTGAGTTAATATTTCTAATTTCATTAAAATAATATTCATTCATGTCTGTTACATAATAATTTGTTTAGAATGGAAGGTGTACCATCACCTTCAGAATTGATAACACGATTGCAAACAATCATTGGAAATAATGAATTAAGTCTTATACAAGCACGACAAGAGAGAGCAGAGCGTAGCGCTGCACAATCGTTACGACAACAACAGGATAAAGCCTATGAAGAATCATTGCGAGCAGACCAAGAGAAGGACCGAAAACGAGAGCAAGAACGAAGAGCTCGTGAGGAACAAGAAGCTCAAGAAAAAGAAAAACTTAACGCCCAGGAAAAAGAAATTCAAAGAATTCGTGTAGAGAAAGAGCTCACGATACAAAAAGTTCCATTAGAACCAGAGTTTAATCATTCAGATGTTTGTCATCTTCAAATCAAACTTGGTGAAAGAACGTTAAAAAGAAGATTCTTGATGTCTCATACAATTCAGGTTTTATATTTTTCTTCTGAATCCTAACTCGGAGATCTATGGAAATAACGATGTTTCAACGTAACATTATTTTTTCAGGATTTATATTATTGGATTTTTAGTCAACCAGATTCTCCAGTAAATTTTGAAATAACAACTAGTTTTCCAAAAAGAGTGCTCTACCCGAATGTAGAATCGGCAACCCTTTTACAACTTGGTTTAACTCAACGGGAAGTTTTACATATAAACAGTTTAGATGATTAACCTTGTATTAAGGTTCATAAAATTACATAATTATGAACTGAATAATAATTCTATTTGTTTTTAAATCATAAAACATAAAATAAGTGATATAAATATGGAATGAATGCAATAAAAGTAAGCAATGTGTAATGTGTGTACGCAAGATAAAGTAAACATGTGATACGTGTAGCTAAAGAATGCTCATTTTCTTTTTTTTCCCTTTATCACTTTAGAAGTAATGCAATGAATAAAAACACAATTTGTGATTTTTTAATTGAGAAACGACACTAAATCCATTAACCCTTCAAGTTAATCAGTTGATGACAAATTAATGATTTCTATTTGAAAAACGTAGTTTTTAGAAAAATTCCAAAGCAATATTTAATATATCTTCTTTTAACGGTACATTTTTACGTCATTTATTGAAATTTTGTAAATATAGTAAAAATAAATACATAATAATAAGAATTTATTTTTTTCCACTACAAAATCAATCGCTCCATAAACCTGATCAATAACTAAAATCATTAAGTTGCTCAATTGCATACAATAAACAAAATTATTTTCGATTTCCGCCAAATAAATAGAAATAATTATTAAAATATTCAAGTTTTACTTCATAAACATAAGAGATTCACAGGAATTAAAATGAATTGAATTTTTTTTAGTTTATTATTTTTTATTATATCAAATTATTTTTTCTACATCAATAAACTTCTTTTACGTGAATTGATTATGATTTTTCTTTAAATTATCGAATTCTAAATGTTAGATATTTTTTACGTAGGTTGAAATATTAAAAATATGAAAAATAATTCTTCAATTTAATTATACTCTGTTATATTATGATATAAATCCACACATGAATTAAGATTTATGAATTTTATATTGAAATGTATGGTGAAGTAAAATACTTTTGATATTTGTAAATAATTCATATATCATGTTTAACTATCATTTCAATCAAATATTATTAATATTATCAAAATAAATATGTATTAAGGTTGTAAATTCATAAAAGATTATTTATTAAATAAAAAAAAAATGAAATTTTTACTAACAAAATCTTAACAATTAAGTTCAACTGATTTAATTTTTCTTACAGGTGTACAAGCGGTACATTCACCTGAATAATTCAATTTTGTACTTTTTCGAGTAGATCTACGTTGATGGGGAGTTAATATATAGTCATTCTCTTTTATTGATTCACGATTTAATTTTATTTTCAATTTGTTTGAAGGAGACGAAATCAATTGTCTATTTTTTTCTTTCAAATTGTCGATTTTATCTAATGCATTATTTGCTGCATTATTATGATCAAATTGTGAATGACTTCGCAAAATTCTTGATGATGATATAGTATTATCGCATATTAGAAGTGATTTTCGTTTTTTCGTTATTCCTCTTTTAGAAAATGATTTCATGTTATCATTATCTTGTGCTATTAATTCTGACGATGCTTCTGAATTAGAATAAGAATTAGTTTTTTTCAAAATATCACTATTGATACCTATATTTTTGTTGAAGTTGCGAGTTTTTACTATGTTTGGAAATGTTGGATTTTCATTTCTTTCGACAATTCTGTTTGGTGAAATTTTATCGTAATTAATTACTTCATTAAAATTTACTTTAACCGCAGATTTATCAAATTGATCGTAAGATTTTTCTATTTCATTATGTTTAAGAATCCCTTTTCCTCGAGTTTGTTCTGATGTAATGTAAGATATTGAATTATCTAATTTTGGTTCAGTTTTTAGTGGATTTTGTTTTCCTGTACTTGCTCTAGTATGGTAACATGGACTTTTTGAAAACATTATTTGATGATCAAGCTCTAATTTAATTTTTTGATCATTCATTTTTTGTTTTCTGGACGCTTCAATAAAAGCTCGCATATTGCTTTTACCCGTAATTTTATTTTTTATTATTGGCTGCTTCTTAAGTTTTCCTACTTTCTTTATATCTAGTTTCTCTTCAATCCAAGAATTTGTTTTTAATATTTCTAATTTTTCAAAACGTGAAAGACAATCCTTTATTTCGATTGACATCATGTCCCAAAATCCTTGAAGATCTCGGCATGTTACAAGTAATTCTTTATTACCTGTTATACAATCTGACACTAATCCGTCGAATCGTTTAAACTTCTTATTTATTAATAAAATTGTTTGTCCAATTGCCTGATTGATAATGTATTGACCATCATCAGTTGTTTCAGAACTTTCTTGAATTTTTTTCCATTTTTCACAAAGATTATGCAATCGATCAGTTTCTTGATTTAGAAGATATTTATAATATTGTGCAGTTTTTGGAGATTCATTTGCTGAGGCGTTGAGAATATCCGTGATATTGTCCTTTGTAGGAACTGCATTTCGTGGACTATTCAAACCTAAACGTTCTCTTTGTTCATCTCTTATATTACTTTTTCCACGTTTAGTTGTTACAAACGGGGAGAGAGCTGCTGGCACCAATGATTGGAATAGAACATTCGTATCCTTATCGCGTAATGAATTATTTTCGAGTATTATTTCACTTTGGTTTTTATTCATATTATTAACATTTTTAATCAAATTCACGTTAAATGTTGCTTCATTTTTTATATTATTATCGTTAAAGACTTTAATAATATTAGTAGTAGAAGTTTGTGGTTTTTTGTCTGTCGAGAAATTTTGTATATCTAACATTCGAACGGGAGCAATACCTTTAGGTGCATGAAATACATGATGTTCTATTGATGGAAAAGTCATAATAGGTTCTTCACTACGTTTCTTTCTCTTCTTTTTAGTTGTTTCTGGTTTACATTTTAGCAATGTATCAGACTTAGCTATCTTTTCTTTTTCAGCAAGTCTTTTAGCGGTAGCTCGAGTTATTCTTGTTGGAACTATCAGATGAGTTTTATTTTTTTTATGATGTTGACAATCAAGAGTTGTAAAGTTATCAGTTGTTGCAGACCAAGGCTTGTGATGGGGAATACCCACAACAAAGGGCGGTTTTTTACTCTGAGCATCGACTTTTTTTTTCATTTCTTTGTCAGCTTTCCATTTCAGCAATTGTTTCACCCGATTATTAACTTGTGCATTTTGTGATTGAAGCTCTTCAGGAAGTAAAATAGCTAAAAGAACAGTGCAAAACATTGTATGACTAAATGACAAGAAAAAATACTAAATAATTTAAGAATTAATATATACCTTCCGAAAGTTTCTCATCAACAATTGTGGCAAATCTATTTCGAGCAATATCTTTAGCTCTTTGTTGTTTACGCCTTTTTTCAACTTCACATGCTCGAGTTATGCGAGCTTCAATACTTCCAAATTCGAAACGTTTTTTTTTGAATTGATTTAAACGATCCATTGATATTGATATATATTTGATAGAACAAAATTATAATAAAATATCAATTCTATGATATTCACGTTGCTATATTTAACGTTTAACCGTCAACAGAAAAACATTTGAATTTGACATAAGGAATAAACTGTAGATATACAGTTATACATTCGGCTTCATTAATGCCTGGTGTATCTTTGGTGTAACGTCCAGGTTTAGCAAATGACAGTAGTGTCACCTTCTGGACTCGGTGTAAGTTCGTTGGTCGAGGTTTTGAGGGAAAAAGCTGGATTTTTAAATGATTGAATTTTATTCAATAAAATTAATGTGATCTATTTAAATGCAGAATCAGAAGTGCGGGAGTTTGACTGTACAAATTATTCTTTAGTCAAATTTCTCTTCCATTTTTTTTTTTTACATACAAAGAACTTAAGCTAGACTTACGAATTAGCGGGAGGGATACTACGTCATTGTCCCCATTTCTGTACTGACAAACTCTTTTATTTTAATAACGAGTGGTTTATTCAAAACATGTCTTGACTAAATCACCTATTTATAAGTATTAGTTTTTGGTATATCTCATGAATTTAATTTTTATTAGTTGACTGTGAAATTATTTAATATATATTTTTGCATTCAAATTAGGCTCTATTTCACAAAAAGACGTCTATTGATAAAAAACAGAAATATTATACAATGGCATGTACACTCGGCGTCATTAAAGAATTTGTAAATTTTTTGGTGCCCTAAGGCGCTCTTTTTTTAGTGCATTCCTGAAAATTATCATCTTTTGAGCAATTTCTCTGTTACCTACTCAATTTCAATTGAAATCGAGCTTCGGCCTTCTGCCGCCCAACGCGAAGGCGCAAAGTCAACTTCGGAACTTTTCTTAGGTATAGCCCAGCCTTAAGTGATCGAATAATGGAGGTTTAATTTTGCGTTTGATTTAGTTCCAATTTTATTTTATCAATAAAAACACGGATATAAAATACTCACAATTCATGATTATTGATCAGTATAACTAAGTAAAATTTTTAAAAACTTGATTCCATAATTTTTAGTAAAAACAAAATATTTAATTATTAAATATTATAATTAAAATGAGTGAACAAATATAAATTATACTAAACGCAACATTTCTTAATTAACTACAATGTAGGATCTATTTTTTTAATATGTAGTGTATTTTCACCAAACGTAATACTAAGTACAGTAGACTACTAATGTCAATTAAAAACATTTTTAAATAGATCTTTTACATAAATCTTTAAAGTAAAGTAAGCATGAGTAGAATATGTATATGATGTCGACAAGCTAAATGTTTTATGAATCTTTTTAAAGTAAAACAACTTTGTTCATTAATAATTTACAGATTTAAGGTAAGTGAATTACAATAAAATAGTATTTGTTAATTCTTATTGTTAATAATTTTATTTTTACGCTTAAGATACTCTTAATAGAAATATGTAGCAAATTATACATTATAATATTTTAGTAATAGAAAAGCGGTAAATGTTTGTAAAATTTAACACTATGATCAGATATTTATTTATATTTTTTAGCATCTTTTTTTAATTCTGCAATAAATTTCTTTTTTTAAGTACATTAAAGTATGCAAAACATATTAATAAATACATTATTTACAGAAATAAAAATTGAACATGGCTGACGAAGACAGTACAGAGTGGCTTCAAAATCTACTCCAAGATGTACAACTCTCTCAATTTTTTTCTAGAATTAGAGATGACCTGCAAGTTACGAGATTACATCACTTTGATTATGTTCAGTCTGAAGATCTAGAAAAAATAGGTCTGAGTAAACCAGGAATTAGAAGACTAATGGATGCTGTTAAAAAAAAACGTACATCTCAAAAAAAAATCTCATTACTAAAATTCGCACCGGTACCAGTGGCAAAGTTACAAAGAGATCCTCGCAATTGATAGAAGATTCTGGTGTTTTGACATGTCTTATTCAAGATAAAGACGTTAGCCTATCTGTAAAGTTAGGGGATGGTAGTTTTGGTGTAGTAAAACGAGGAGAATGGAATTCTCCTACTGGTCGAATATTGCCAGTTGCGGTAAAAATTTTAAAAGCAGATGCGTTAACGCAGCCTAATGTTATTGAAGATTTTGTATCAGAAGTTCAAGCTATGCATATACTCAATCATCCAAATTTAATAAGATTGTATGGAGTTGTTTTGTCTCAGCCAATGATGATGGTAACAGAATTAGCACCCTTGGGTTCACTATTAGATTATTTGAGAAAGCAATGTGGTCATATATCAATTTTAACATTATGTGATTATGCACTTCAAGTAGCTACAGGAATGGCATATTTAGAGGCTAAGAGATTTCTTCATCGAGATCTTGCTTGTCGTAATGTACTTTTAAGTTCTATCGATAAAATAAAAATAGGAGATTTCGGATTAATGCGGGCGTTACCGCAAGAAAAAGATTGCTACATTATGACAGAGCACAAAAAGGTACCATTTCCATGGTGTGCACCTGAATCTCTCAAAGCCCGACAATTCAGTCATGCTTCAGATGTGTGGATGTTTGGTGTTACCTTATGGGAGATGATGACATTCGGTGAAGAACCATGGTTAGGTCTAAATGGATCAGAAATTTTGAAAAAAATAGATCGAGAAGAAGAACGATTGCATGAGCCAGAAGCAAGCCCTTCTGTACTATATCAACTGATGCTACATTGTTGGGCGAAAGATCCTGCTAATAGACCATCTTTTTCCTCATTGCGACAATCGTTAACTGGTATATTACCTACTGTAATGAAAGCATTAAATCGTTTTGAAGAACAAGAAAAAATGAGCATCGAACAAGGTGATGACATTGTAATCATTGATGGAAGACCAGAACATTATTGGTGGAAAGGACAAAATCAACGAACGTTTCAAATTGCTTTATTTCCACGATGCTTAGTAGACCCAATGAGAAAAAAACAACCAGAAGATATTAGTAAACCTTTAGAAAATTCATTTATTCATACAGGACACGGAGCACCATTTGGAAAAAGCTGGGGTAGTCCTCAATTTATTGATGATGTTTATTTACGAAATCCAATGGAACCACCAGATATTATAGGAATTACAGAAATAGATAAAAAAAAAATTATTTACAAAAATTCTCGATTAAAAAAACAATTCAATTATACAAGACTTCAGAATGATTTACAATCCATTCCGATGAAAATTTATAAAAGTTCCGACACATCAAACAATCAACACAGTTTGATAGATTTATCTCCGGAAGAATTAGTCACCAATGGATCTACAGAATCAAACTCATCATTAAAACGTGTAGTAAATATTTTAGATGAACCAATTGACATTTCAACGATTGAAGAAAATTGGAATGGAGATGACCTTAAAATGTACGCCAATTTTCCGGGTACATTGAATGCAAAACTTGATCCATTTGATACTTCTAGATTTTTTACTGATCCAATTCACACACGATATTATAGCCATGTTCCTCAAGATATTAACGGCTCTGCTACTAGCATTCAATCGCATACGAATGTAATTAATAGAGAACCAACCCCTTGTAATAATAGTACAAATGTTAATAACATTGACGAAATAAGTACAATGATAAAAATATATTCAGATACGAATAAAGATATCAGTAATCAAAATACAAATTGTAATGTTAATATATCAGATCAAAAAATTAATCATGATTATAATGGGCAGATTTATGCCGAAATCACGAAACTAACTCCAACATCATATATAAATACTCATTGGCCTCGTGATTCAAAAGAAAATGAATGTCAACCGACTTATGCGAATTTTATTAATAAAACAAGTTTTTCAAATTCTTTTGATTCATCACCTGCACCATTAATACAATCAAATGACAATTTATTAGAAATCAAAGAAAGTCATGATATTGCAAGTGAATTAGACTTATCAAAACCTCCAATATCAAAGAAATTAGATCCTGCTTTTTTTGCAGAATTGGAAAAACATCTAGGTGCAAAAAAATTAAATACAAACTTCAATGAATTACAAATCCAAATTATATCATCACCAGCATCTTCACAAATAGCAAAATTACCACAATTAAGTCCTTTACCATCTCCAGGCAAAGTTGTTAATTCTTCGACATTAAAGAATGTTAATGTCCAACAATCAAAGAGTATTTCACCTCATTATAGTTCTCAATTAAGTTATGATTTTGACAACATTACTGGTCAATTGTCGCAATTAAGTTTTACAGGAGAATCAGAACGTAATAGAAAAAGTGGATCTTCCCTAAACCTAATTCCAAGCGATCATCAAAGTGAATTACTTAGTTCATTCACGGCTCATGGTAGCTCAAATTTACGAGAAGAAACTCCAAACGATCCACATCAAGCTTTCAATCATTATAGCGATAGTTCATTTGTTAAAAAAAATATGATGTCAATGCATCAGCATCAGCGACCATGCTATAATGGAATTCATAATACTTTATCATCATCAGCGCATCATCAGCAATACCAAAATTATATACTCCCAGCATTATCTCAAAACGTTAATTCGAATCTTTCCCAATCACAAAATAATATTCAGTGGACACGAACTGCACTTGCGAATTCAAGTATAATTCGAGATAGTAATACACTGTCTGAAAAAGTATATGCTGAACTTCAAGAAACTGTGCCAAACTTGAATGAACTATCACAAAGTGAATTTAATACTCTTTATAATAAAACTGTACAACAAAATATTCTCAAAAATTCTCGAACGGCTAATGATTCAGTGGTTAATTGTAATCACATGTTGTTTCAAAATAATCCTCAAGAGCATAACTTTGATGTAAAATCACACCCTGCTTGGAACTCAATTAGTTCAATACGTGAAAATGATGATATTAATTCTCAAAATATAAAATCAAATATTTATACCACATCTAATCCAAGCTTTAATCATAATTTAGGAAATTTTCAAAAAAATTTCGCAATTTCTGAAAAAGCTAAAGTAGCCAATCACCTTTTTTCTACAAAAGATACAATCAATAATACTCAGTCATATGTTAGTAAACCATCAACTTCCTCCAGTGGTAATTCATCAATCATGGAAACATCTCAACAACTTGTAATGTCTCTCAATGATGAACTTTATGCTAGTAAAATTATGAAAGTACAAAAAGATGCAATAGATGCGTCCCAAAAAGAAATAGTAGCTGCATTACAAGCTACGGGATGGGATACTAATCAAGCATCAACACAAATTATCAAAGATCGTCAAGCAAAAGTTGATTCACTTTCAAGGTAAATGAAATAATCGTTTTATTCAAATATTTGAAAATATAATTATTTTTTATCTTAAAAATAAGTGGAATATTTATGAATTTCATAATCAGTATAGTTAGAATGAATATTTCATTCAAATTTTTCAGGCTGGGATTAGCCAATAAACAACAATGTGAATATGCTTTAAAACAAAGCAAATATGATGTTGAATTAGCAGCTTCATTATTGCTGGATCGAGTTAGATGAAGAATTAGGAAAAAATAAATTTAATATTAAAATGACGTATAAGATAAAATTAAAAACAACGAAACTTATTAAGACAATCAATGGAGAGTTAGTAAATGATATGATGGAGTGAATTGTTACAACAATGAATTTTATAATACATATTACTTAATACGTCCTGTGTAACAAACAAGTATTACAATTATTATACACAATAAATAGTTCTATTAATTTTAATTGTTAAAATTTTTCAAAGGATAAAATGTATTTTCGTATTTACTAGAATATCAAAGTTTTGAAGGTAAGTTAAATTATTATAAAGTTGATTAAACTTACAAAAAATCTCTAATTAAGTAAATATGATAGTTACTTTATAAGATTGACAATAAAGCCAATTATTCCGTCTCTATTATTAGAAACAGAATTAACAAATATGAATCATTTTATTGTTTTAAGAGATTTGATACCCAAATAATTAGCTTGAATGGTTATGAATATTAGAGATTATTAGTCTTCATGAAACGTAAATCGTGAATAGTTATTTGTCACCTCATAGTATGATCCTTTTTCTGATGGTAATTTTGCTTCAATTGAACTACAATCATATCTAATTTTATAATGAGATATCAAGAAATTATAGACAGTTTATTTTCTAAATAAAAACCTAATATTTATATTTAAAATACAGCACGTCTTCGTGAACTTTTAGATATCCGAATTATACACTGGTAAAGTGATTGATAAGGAATTAATTTCTTCATTATAAAAAATTAATGTTTCATGTGAAGATTATATTTTTTTTGTACATTTAAATTACATAATAAAATTCAAATATATTTTCTGGACGTAAAAAATTGTAAGAAATTTTTGAAGAATTTGTGGTGTCATCCAGTTTACAAAGATAACGTATGCACATACATACGTACACTTATGAAGTCACGCTACATATTATTAAATATGTAATAGTGCATGAATATCAAGAAGTGCTAAGTAGACGCTACAGATTTATTCGATGTGTGTACAATTATTTTGTACGTGTTTCGAAAGTTTTATTCTCGTGTAATTATTATTTAAAAATTTGAAAGTATATTCTGAAAAATGAGCTTAGTTTACATTTTTGTATTTTTGCTTTATTTTCATCATGTATTGACTATTTTAATAACAAATAAAATCGAAGAAACCGATAACAATTACAATCCGGATGTTCATCTTACTACGGTACGTAGATAAATTCGATGATAATTAACTCTATAATGCATAATTTTTCTTAATAATAAATCTTGATAGTACATACTATTTTATTTTTTTATTTTTGATGCGTAAAAAAAAAATTCAAGAGGTTGAAGCATCAAAATTTGTACTTTCAAATTACAGTGCCCGGTGAGAATTTTTTTACTAAATGTAAGTGCAAAAAGTAACAAGTCCACGTTTCGAAATTTAGAAGTAAAAATATTTCTATTCGATAGTAAATTTGGAGTTCTTGTAAGTAAACTGGAGACTTGAAAGGTGTCTAAGTAAAAGAATTATTTAGAACAACTCAAAAATTACTTACGACAACCCAAAATTCACTGTTGAACAAAAATATTTTTACTTCTAAATTTCGAAACGTGAACTTGTCATTTTTGCACTCACATGTAGTGGAAAATTCTCTCCAAGTGTTTTATTATTTAAAATCAATAATTTTTAACAATATAAAAAAATGTAAAAAAACTATATTGTATGTACATGCCACAAGAAGCATTATAGAAAGTTAATAACTTGAGAATGATTGTCATCACAATAATGTTGTATTTTCATCGTGACTTAAATAATAAATTTTCCAGCCTGAGATGATAAAACGTGCCGGATATCCTGCAGAAGCACATATTATTGAGACAACAGATGGGTATTTATTATGTATACACAGAATACCCGGTAAATTCAATTCAAGGCCAGTGTTTTTACAACACGGTCTTCTTGGTAGTTCTGCTGATTGGGTCATTTCTGGCAAACAAAAATCGTTAGGTATGTAAGGAATTGATTGATTAAATTTGACTATATTTTAGCCATAATTGGATTTGAAGCTTATTAAGACAGAGTTTAATCCATTGAGTAATATTTTTGTTTACTTTTCATAAAACATTTATGCATATTATAGAGAGTAATTTTTCAAAAATACATTTTTCGATATAATTTGTTGAATTCAAATGTTTTTCATCCCAGTTGAACATTAAAATTTAAACCAATACAATCTAATTACCCTGCTTAAGTTATCCTGTTGAAAAACATCAAATCCTATTAAATATTTCAATAGGAATAAGAACTTTTTACAGGATATCCTGATTATAATATTTTTTATATAATCCTTTTCATTATTTACGTTTTCTACTGAACATCTTAGCAGAATTAATGACATTTTAATGGAAGTTTTGCAATATCAGAATTTCGTACAGAATAAAAGCAAATCCTTTTCAATTTTACAATAGGACTAAACAATGGGTGTTTTCCATTTAGGAAACACAACTCGACACAGTTACTATGTTAACGCGCAGACAGAGAAGAGAGACCAGTATATGGTTGAACCAAGAAAAGAGTAGTCTCGATTTGGTGTCTAATGTCACGTCCCCATAAGATTTTATCAGGAGGCGGGAGATTAGACACCAAATCAAGACTATTCTTTTCTTGGTTCGACTATAGAAGTTCAGTC